GTTAACCTTTTTGCATAATTTTGTTTACATTTCTAAAAAGGACTGTTTTCATTTTGAAGTCATTTAAGTGTATATTAAAAATACTTCAAAAATTAGAAAGTGTCTGTATGGAGATTAGAAGTATTGTCAGTTACCTTATTGGCAAACTTCTGAGTTATATTGAACAATAAAAAGGGATTTGCATTAAAGGATTTCCTACATAGTGATATATTTTGGGTTCTTATTATGAAAGAGCCTTTAAGTATAACTGTCTTGAAATTTACTCCAAATTTTAAATTATTTTGAGAAAAATTTTAATTTTTATCCCTTTATCCCCTAATTAATAAATGAAGAAAAGCAAGTTATTTTCAGACCTTTACAAATATTTCCTTTTATAACTGTACCACACCACACCAAAGTCTACAGACCAAAATAATAAAATATGTACTTTCAACCTAAACTTATTCCTTTTTAGAATATGAAACTTTTTTCTTATAAAAGAAATTAACATTTAGTATTGTAAAGAAATTAAAATAGTTCAGAGAAGCAGAAGGGAAAGACTTTTACTTTTTATTCCCTTCACTATCCCTCTTTACCCTTTGATGATTACATAGATTGAACTTGACAGTTTTGTGGACAAACTTTCAGGCCTTTTCTGTACATATACTATATAAACTAGATACGCATACGTGTTTTTTGTTATTTTCAAAATGGTGTCATACTCTCTGTGTTGTTCTGAAACTTGCTTTGCTTTTTCCTCTCAAAATTTATCAAGGAACATTCTTCCATTCTTCCATGACATTACCTGTAAAACCCAAAAAATCTACTGCCCTCGAGTTGATTCCGACTCATAGAGACCCTGGAGGACAGAGTAGAACTGCCCCATAGGGTTTCCAAGGCCGTAAATCTTTATGGAAGCAGACTGCCACATCTTTCTCCCGCGGAGTGGCAACTGGTGGGTTCGAACCTCCCACCTTTCAGTTAGCAGCCAAGCACTTAAACACTGCACCACTAGGGCTGTGATTTACCTAATACTTTGGCTGGCTGCATCTTGTTCCATAGTGTGGATGTTCCACAATCTATTTATGAACTTTTAGGTTATTTCATTTTTCCCTACTGTACAACTAACTTTTGCATTACTTTTTCTTTTCTTTTTCAGGGTAACCTTGGCTTTCATTGGGATTAGTTTGCTTGTTATAGGAACTACACTTGTTGGGCAGCTGCCAGACAGCAGGTGAAATGTTTCCTTCCATTCAGCCGTAAATAAGACTGTCTTTTTACTGTGTCAACAAAGAGCCTATTTGTCTGATTCCTACGTATTGTGTTTCGTTTATGGTCTCAACTCACTTATTAGAATCCCGCTCACTTCACCTTCATAGTGTTTATTTGATTTTCTGTCATACTTTCAAATAAATTGAAAGAGGTTGGTTGTTTTAAAGAAGAAATGAAGAAAGAAAGAAAACGGACAGAGAAGCCCAAGGGAAAGCCAGAGTCCTACAGTATTGGCAGGTTCATAAGGCTGAGACCAAAGAAGCTTCTGCGTAACTTTGCCAGGAGTTTATCATAATACGTTTAGTTGGGTGAGAGCTACTTTCCATTAGAGTTTTGTCCAGTTCTCTTGGTGAACTTCGGCCATTTAATACTAAATGCCTCCATGAGACTAGAATTGAACTGTGGGTGTGTCTCAGAACATCCTCTGCTGCTGTGCTGGAGCAGAGTGTATTGTTTAGTGTATTGTTTCTTGAATGTACCCAGAACTGCACAATAAAATGCTTTCTTTTTCGTTCAGTTTCAAAAACTGGCTGAGTGAACTGGTCCACCTGACCTGCTGCCGGATCTGTGTGCGAGCCCTTTCTGGTGCCATTCATTACCATAACAGGTGAGTGTCTGTTGGCCTCCAGCCTGGTCTTCTCTAGGTACATCCAGTGCATGAATGACAGCAGAGCCTTGAAAGTGGGTGGGAAGGAAGCAGGTGGATTAAGATATTTTCGGTGTGTTTACTCCTCCTTCTCAGAGTGTCACAGATGTTAACGATGCACAAAAGTACTTTATAAAATACGGTTCGTTTGCAGAGAGAACATAATAAACCAAAACCAGTTGCCATCAAGTTGATTCCAACTCATGGTGACCCTATGTGTGTCAGAGTAGAATGTGCTCCATAGGGTTTTCAATGGCTGATTTTCAGAAGTAGATCACCAGGCCCTTCTTCTGAGGTGCCTGTGAGTAGATTTGAACCTCCTGCCTTTCGGTTAGCAGCAGAGCATGTTAAGCATTTGCACCACCCAGGAACTCCAAGGAACATAATAATAAGCATTCAATAGCATTAAATAATTGGGCATTTATGTATGTGGCTCAGGTCTTGTGCTTCTCATACGTCATCCCCATGAAATAGGTGCTTTGGTCCCATTTTACAGTTGAAGAAATGGAATCTCTGGGTTGGGTTGCTCAAGATCACACGGTATTAGTTTCCTAGGTTGCTATAACAAAGTACCACAAACTAGGTGTCATAAAACAACAGAAATTTATTCTCTTGACAGTTTTGGAGATAAGAAATCTGAAGTCTTGCTTCCCCCAGAGGCCCTGAAAAAGAATCCTTCTTTGATCCTTTCAGCTTCTGGTGGTTCCTGGCAATCACTGGCCTTCCTTGGCTTGTAGTTGCATCACTCCAATCTCTGCCTCCATCTTTACATGGCCGTCATCCCTGTGTCTGTTCTGTGTCCCTGTATCTAAATCTCCCTTTCCTTCCTCTTAGAAAGACACAGTCATTGGATTTAGGGCCCATCCTAATCCACATGACCTCATTTTAACTTGATTCCATCAGCAACGGCCCTATTTCCAAACAAGCCCACGTTCTTAGGATCCAGGGATCAGGACTTGAACATATCTTTTGGGGGGACGCAATACAACCCACTAGAGTGAGTAAGTGGCAGAGTGAGGTTTTGGACCAGGTCTGTCTGATTTAAAAATGATGAACTTGACAGGCCTATAGGGTGGAAAGAAGACTAAACTTGGAGTCTGGAGGCCTGGTTCTGGTGTCAAATATAAACAACTCAGAACACCATTAACATTTAAGACATTTAAAAGGGGCCCTGGTGCACAGTGGTTGAGCACTGGGCTACTAACCGAAAAGTTAGTGGTTCAAACGCACCAGCGGCTCCATGGGAGAAAAGACCTGGCAATCTGCTCCCGTAAGGATTACAGCCTAGGAAATCATATAGGTTTCCTCTATCCTTTTGGGTCGCTATGAGTCAGTATTGACTTGACAGCATACACATCCATGTTTAATAGGCAATTTGCAAATTGAGCAGCACATCACTTAAACCAAGTAAATCAGTGCACCAATTAATTAAGATTTTTGAAGTTTTTATGTACAATTTTATCGGGAACTTTGAACAAAAAAATTTTGATTGGTTGACTATTATGTCAACCAATAAGAGAGCAGTATGTATGCACACACACATTATCAAAGTTTAAATAGAAACCTTGCTAAGATAATCACAAGATCAGTGATCCAGCGTTATAAGACCTCTGGAGTCTTGGAAACAGACTCCAATCTTCAATTGTTTTCTGAAAGAATAAGTTTCAAGTGTTTTAGTGAGCTTCATCACCTAAATACAATTATGTGAAACTAGACAAGCTGCTTCTAAAGATTAATTATAGATTAAGGCATAAACCCAAAAACCAAACCAGTTGCCATCCAGTCGATTCCGACTCATAGAGACCCTATAGGACACGAGTAGAACTGCCCCATAGAGTTTCCATGGAGCGCCTGGTGGATTCAAACTGCCAACCTTTTGGTTAGCGGTCTGAGCTCTTAACCACTACGACACCAGGGTTTCCAGATTAAGGCATAGCTATAGGTATTAATAGTCATTAAAATTATATGTATGTTTATGATTATACGTAACATTTAATAAGATGACCTTTGGTGTCATAGGTGGGAGAACTCTCTCTGTTCTCATAAAGCAAAACTTACACTTTTACTTCACACTAGTCTCAGACCTGCCAGCTCTAAAAGTCCATCACTGAGTCTTAAAACAAAATACTACATTCTGCTTCCCTCACCTTCAATCATAGAGATTAAACGTAGCTAAGTAAAGCTATTAGCTAAGTGAAACTGATATTAATTGTTTTTGACTTACTTTTCTGTTAACTCAATTGTATTTTTTTATGTTTACATCATTGTTTTAAAAGTTCTAAGATAAGTTTTTTTAACTGATTAGGGCTTCATGTCTCATTAGCAGAAGGGAAACATTTTAGCATTGGGCTTTAACTTGGGCTGTCAGACATACGGGGGGCAGTAGTGGTTCAATGGTAGAATTCTTGCCTTCCATGCAGGAGAACTGGGTTTGATTCCTGGCCAATGCATATTATGTGCAGCCGTCACCCATCTGTCTGTCGGTGGAAGATTGCATATGTTGCTATGATGCTGAACAGGTTTTAGCGGAGCTTCCAGACTAAGATGGACATTGAAGAAAGGCTTGGTGATCTACTAATGAAAATCAGCCAATGAAAACCCTATGGATCACAACAGTCTGATCTGCAGCCAATCATGGGAATAGCACAGAAGTGGACAGCATTTTGTCCTGTTATTCATAGGGTCACCATGAGTCAGGGGACCAACTCGATGGTAGCTAACAACAGCTAAACATACAAGGACCCTTAAACTTCTAAAATTATATGAATTTGTGATCGTGCTGTGAGTTTCAGAATGAGGAATAGAAGAAAATGCTCTGGTAGAGGTGTAATCAGAGGAGACACCTTCAGAAAAGGTATTTTAATTATGTAGAGAGAAGCTCATAACTTATAGAATTACTTCTAATTTTAAGGAAAACATGCTAAAGTCATTTTACATTTGGTTCCATTTCTTCTTTGTATAGACATAAAACTACTTTGCTTCTTTGGTATTAAATACTGGCCTGACTCTAGGATGGAGCCCTGGTGGCATGGTGGTTAAGAGCACAGCTGCTAACCAAACGGCAGTTCGAATCTACCAGCCACCCCTTGGAAACCCTATGGGACAGTTCTGCTCTGTCCTATAGGGTAGCTGTGTGGCAGAATTGATTCGACAACAATAGATTTGGTTTTTTTTTTTTTTTTTTTTTGGTTTAACTCTAGGGTGAGCTTGGCAAACTAAACCACAGCCTGCCACCTGTTTTTTTAAATAATGTTTTGTTGGAACACAGACATGTTCATTTATTTACATATTGTCTATGGCTGCCTATGTGCTATAACAGCAGAGTTGATTCGTTGTTACAGGGGTCATCTGACTTGCAAAAGGTGAAGTATTTACTATCTAACCATTGACAGAAGAAGTTAGCTTCCCCTGCTATGGGAACTCTTGTGGATCACAATGAAACCATTAAAAGTAATGCTTATGAAGAATGAAATAATATGAAAATACTTATGATAAATGAAACTTACAATTTACAAAATTTGCTTACTAAAGACATAGAATCTTTGTAATTAACTCTAGTACTTAAATTTTTTTTCATAATAAAAGAAAAACATGATCATTATAAAAAAAGACACAAATATATATAAAGGGAAAGTCATGGGCCCCTTCTCCTATAGTCTTACCCACTCCCATCATACTGCCTACAAGTAACCATTCTTAAGATGGGCCCTTATACTTCCAAATTTTATTTTATTAAAAAATTTTTTTACTGTGGCAAAATAAATATGAGAAAGAATTTTCCATTGTAACCATTTTAAGGGCACAATCCAGTGACATTAATTATATTCACCATGTTGTTCAACCATCACTACTATTTCCAATTTTTTTTCAACACCCCAAATGGAAACTCAGTACCCCTTAAGCAATAACTGTCCATTCCCCTTTTTGCCCATCCCTGGTAACCACTAATAAACTTTTTTCTCTTTGCTTTTGCCTATTCTGGATATTTCATATAAGAGGAATCATACAGCATTTGTCCTTTTATATCTGACATATTTCACTTAGCATAATGTTTTCAAGGTTCATCCATGTCATAACATGTATCAGAACTTCATTACTCTTTATGACAGAATAATTTTCATTGTCTGCTTATACCACATTTTGTTTATCCATTCATCTGTTGATAAGACACTTGAGTTGTTTCCACCTTTTGGCTATTGTGATTAATGCTACTATAAACATTGGCGTACAAGTATCTGAGTCCCAACTTTAAAGTATTTTGGGTATATATGTAGGAGTGGAATTGCTATGTCATATGGTAACTCTATGTTTAACTTTTTGAGGAACCGCCAAACTGGTTTCTCAAACTTTATTTTTTAACGTAGTTTTTAAGACAAAATAGAATGAGTCTATATATGCTGTTCTGCAAAATAGTGGCCATTTTTCACAGTTTAGTAGTTACCGTTTTTGCGCTTACAGGCAGTACAGACCCCAGAAGGGAGGCATTTGTGTTGCCAACCATACCTCTCCAATAGATGTTTTTATCTTGACAACGGATGGATGCTATGCTATGGTAAGAACAGCTCATATTTCAAGTAGTTTTGTGTTTTGTGAATTGCTCAAACTTTTATTTTGGCACAAATTAGAAAGTTGATTTCATATTAGAAAATGAGTGGGTTGTAGCTATGTAAATTATGTAATATATTTACATGAGGAATACATAATGCAAGAAAAAGAAAAGGAAATAGTCATTATATTTAGGGTAGTAAAAAATTAACTTTCTTAAATATAGACATATTTAAACCTGATAGAACTTGTAAAGCTGATGATTCCATGTTGCCTCTAACATCTCTGCCAATGTCTAGTAACACTCTGTAACATTAAACTCTTCCTCCTTAGAGCTGTACAAATCCCTCAGCAAGCCAGTGAGTTCTCTTTTCTTTCAGGGAGTTATGTACAATTAAAATATATGTATATGGTCCTTTAATGAGAATCAAGCAGGAAAAGTAAATATTTTTGCCACATTGCATTTTTCAGTCCTTGTCCACATCCCTTAAAACTAAACAAAACCCAGCAAGAAACTGCAAAACCCACAATAAAACAAAAGCCTCAAAACACCCTTTCATGGGGTTAAACAAAAACCACATTCTGGCATTTTTTTTAAATCCACATTTTCTGGTACACTTAAGAATTTGTCAGGCCTTTCTGCATCATCTTTATGTAGCAAGGAAATTTGGGAGTTTAACTGGTGTCCTTTTCCCTCTGGTGGTAAATGTGCCTAAGTAGGTGTGTGGAATAGAATGAAGGGAGAGGGGTGCTGGGAATATTCTTGTCATGGTCTCATGGTGGTGGGTTGGGCTTCAGGGAGAGCAAATGGGCTTTATTTCACTTGCCAACTTCAGTGGTTGGTAGTCATGGCCTGGCGTGCTTTCCTGAGATCCCTGATTCAAAGGGAAAGAGCTGTGATTGATGAAGTGTCTGCTCAGGTAAGAGGGATCCTTGGGTGGTGCGAACAGTTAATGTGCTCAACTGCTAACTGAAAGATTGAAGGTTCTTGTCCACCCAGAGGTACCTTGGAAGAAAGGCCTGGCATTCTACTTCCGAAAAATCAGCCATGGAAAACCTATGGAGCACAATTCTACTCTGACCCACATGGTATCACCATGAGTTGGAGTCGACTCCATGGCAACTGGGGATGCATGTGCCAGTATTTGGCTATACATAGGTTATACTATCATTGTGGGGGTTTTGAATGTCTTTGTAAAAATTTCAACTTATGCCAGACATTTAATTTGTCTAAAAATATAAGCTTACATATACAACTGTTGGACAACCACATTTTAACACATTCTTAAATTTCTCTAAATTTTGGAGCTCTTTCTGAATTGAAGGAACCTTTATCCACCTCTATTGAAGGACTTTTGGGGATTGAGGCTTCTTAACCTTTTCTGGGTTAGGAATTAGATGACAGTTATGTACCCTTTTTAAGGAAAAAGAACATATATGTGTATCTATATACAAACACAGTTTTGCTTGTAATTTCAAGGTATTTATGGATCCTCCTAAAAGCCATCCAGGATCCTCAGGTTAAGAACCCTTGTTAAACCCCAGCACAGTTCTGAGTGTGTATTTGTAATGTATGTAATAAATAATCCTAGTATTTATGTGGACAAACACTCTCATATCCATTCTGTTTGACCTTCCTTGTAATCCAATGAGGTTAGGGCAGAGATTTTGTTATAGATGAGGAAGGAGAGGCTTGTGCATTTTAACCAACTTGCCTAATCATGATTTTGCATTTCCAAGACCATATTACTTCTATGTCCTGGTCAAAAGAAGAGGTGAAATAGCTCATGTGTGACTGAGGGCCTTAGAAATTTGCTGGCGTTTTCTATGAGTTTTAATCATGTCTAACAGCAATTACATTATTAGACAAGGTTTGGAAAAGCAAAATAACTGCAAATTTTTCAGTGGGTTCGATGGTAGAAACCTAAAGACAACTGGGTTAAATCAGAGGCAGTGCAGTGCAGAAGTGGGAGGAGACTGTACTGTTGCCTCCAGAGGTCCTAATTGGCCTCTTTTGGATACACATAAACTGTGTGTCTGAAGAATAGTAAAGATCTTTTCTCGATGACTTTTCTAAAGTTCTCTTCCTCTCCTAAACTAAAGTTGTGGAGCCCTGGTGGCGCAGTGGTTAAGCAGCTCGACTGCTAATTGAAAGGTCCAAGGTTCCAGCCACCAGTGGCTTTGCGGGAGAAAAAACCTGACGATCTGCTCCCATAAGGATTACAGCCTAGGAAACCCTATGAGGGAAGTTCTGCTGTACCCTAGAGGGTCAGTGTGAGTCAGAATCGATTTGTTGGTACACAACAACAAAGATCTCCTTTGTTTTTGAATTTAGAAATATTTCCAAACTTACAGGAAAGTTACAGGAACAAGAATAATATATAGAACACCCATATCCCCCTTATCTACGGTTTCCTATTGTTAACATTTCAATCCATTTGCTTTATCATTTGTGCTCTATCTATCTACATATATAACTTCTGGTAAAAATATTTACACTTCATGTATAGTTATATTTAGTATTTATTTCTAATACTTATATTAGAAATCTGAGTTCACACCAATACCTCCAATTCAGAGAGTTCTTTCTTACTTTTCCTATTCCATATTTGTATATCCCTTCTTTCACAATGAAAACCCTGTACCCCAACAATATCCATATACGTACTCATTTGCTAAAACCTGCAATGTGTCTCATATGGTTTCAGAATTGCTTCACATGTTTTACTACAAAAAGCAAACCTAGTAAAAAAAAATTCAGGATTTTTTGAAATTCTTCTTGCCACTTCACCCAAGGTGGAAGGTCGAATCCTGTGTTCATAAGTTTCTTGTTTTCTTCCCCCCTTCCTCCATCAGTGTTGATCTTTCATTCACTTGAAGTGTAGTTATGTTCATTCAGTTGGATTTCAGTTTTTTATTCCCATCTTTGTTAACTTAATTTTAGTTTTTGAATATGTAGGACATTAACATGCTTCCAAATATCAAAACTATACAAAAATAGAATACTCATAGAAATGCCATTCCCTCCTATATCCTTTCTACCAGATTCCCTCCTACCTCTTTTAGGTTCCCAACTTCATTGTTTTCTGGTTATCCTTTCTGTCCTTTATATTTTAGAGGTCAACAAATATATGTGTATTATTTCTCCTTCTGTCTTACACAAAAGGTAGCATACTGTATTTGTTCTTTTGCAATTTGTTTTTTTCACTTAATGCTATCTTCTGGAAATCACTCCTTATCTTTCAAAGAGATCAACCTTGTCCTTTTCACAGATGCATAGTACTACTCCAATGGATGTACTATAGTTTATTCATCCAATTTCCTATGCTTGGACATATAGGTAGTTACTAATATTTTGCAATAGCAAATAATGTTGCAATTAATAACCTCGTGCATATGCGTTTTCATGTTGTTTCAGGTGTATCGTCAGGATAAATTCCTAGAAGTGAGATTATTCAATTGGAGGATAAATATATATGCACATTTAGTTTTGTATGCAGTTTTGATAGAAATTGCCAATTTTCCCTCCATAGCTGTCCTACCATTTTGCACCCCCCTCCCCTCGAGCAATGGATGAGACTGCCTTAACCTGGCCAACAAAGTGTATTGTCAAGCTTTTGAATATTTGTCAGTCTGATGGATGAGAAATGGTATTTCAGTGTAGTTTTAATTTATGTTTCTTTTATTTTGAGTGAAGTTGTAGGACCTCTACTTTTTTAAAATAGAAGATAGGTAAAACAAAAACCCAAATCCAGTGCTGTTGAGTAGATTCGGACTCACAGCGACCCTATAGGACAGAATAGAACTGCCTCATAGGGTTTCCAGGGAGCAGCTGGTGGATTGGAGGACTTGAACGGTCGACATTTTTTTTTTGGTTAGCAGCCAAGCACTTAACCACTGTGCCACCGGGGCTCTGGAAGATAGCTAGTGCAGCAAAATAGCATAAAATTCAAAGGTGCTACTAAAGAACACTTTTTGCTACATTTGGCCACTCCTGTCCTTTGAACAGCCTAAGAACTACAGTCACTGGAAGAAGGCCAGTCTTATCTCCATGGGGAATAGGAACTTCTGGTACTTAAAAAAGCTTGTTTTGGACAGCTGTGGTTTTACATTTTTTCTCTTTTTCTCATGATACATCTAGGTTGGCCAGGTTCATGGTGGACTGATGGGAGTTATTCAGAGAGCAATGGTCAAGGCTTGTCCCCATGTCTGGTTTGAACGTTCAGAAATGAAGGATCGACACCTGGTTACTAAAAGGTGAGCAGAGGGATTACTCAGTACTCACTGGAGTGGCCTTAAAGCTGATTACTCTTGTCCTTTGTGCCAAAAACAGAAGAGCAGCATCTAAAGATCATGACTAAAACAAGAGCTGTATTTGTGGCTGACTTTTTCTGGTGAATCACCTGTCTTAGCTAGAGTTTTAAAAATTTTAATTCATAGTGGGATATATGATGGAATTAGAGGGCCCATGAGTCTCTGCTGCTGTGACTTAGTATAGTCTAATCACTGAATTTTCAAAGTTAAAAATTACTACTTTGAACATTATATGATTGATAAATATTTGCTGAGTAAATAGATGGTTGATTAAGTATTTGCTGAATGACTGTTCTCACTTAAATCCAGCTAGAGACAGATAGTGCTAATGTTCTCTGTGGAACAGAGAAGAAACCTCTGGAGGTATGGGGTAGAGATAAATGTGAGTTACCAGAAAACTTTGTTGGGAAATAATTTTTTTGTCTCAGACCATTAACTGAAAGCACTGTGGTTATTGCTTCTATAAGCAATGTGCCCATGCTCTTAAGAGTAAAATGAAAAGTACTTGTTGAAATCTGCTTAAAGTTAGAAAAACTGTCCCTCATCCTGAGATTATTCAGCAACAGGGCACTCTGGCAGCTGAAACTCCTCCAAAACCAGTTGCCATTGAGTTGACTCCAACCCATGTCGAACCCATGTGTGTTAGAGTAGAAATGTGCTCCATAGGGTGTTCAGTGGCTGATTTTTTGGAAGTAGATCACCAGGCCTTTCTTCCCAGGTACCTCTGGATGGACTTGGACCTCCAGACTTTTGGTTAGCAGCCAAGTGCGTTAACCATTTCTGCCACCTAGGGACTGAAACCTTGTTACCCCAGCCGTTACCAGCTTCCAGTGAGCAGAGTTTGGAATATAGTGCTGGCTGCTGGGTGGACAGGATCTAGGCCTGGACTTCGGTAATTCTCAGCTTTCTGGTGCATACTTCATAGGACGGTTCTGTCTGACTCATTTACCGAGTCTTCTTATAGTTAATGGCCATAAGGGAGACAAGTCCAGCAATCTGTATTCCCATTTTTCAGGTGAAGAAATATAAGTACATGGAGAAGGGCACAAAACTTAGGACATGGGGGCTCCAGAGCTCATGTCATATGACTGTGTGTCTAGTATTCTTTTTAAAGAGAAGACGGGGGCACTGAAAATTACTCACTGTGAAATTAGAGAAATTGAAAGAGCACAGATATCCTTACACTTGTTTAGAAAGAGAACAACTTGAGTTCATTTCCTTCACTTGTGTCTCATTTCTTTTTTCCTTATCACTTTACGATTACAGTAACTTATGAAGAGTAGTAGCATAGGATAGAAGAATGTCTGCAGAGTAGGAGTATAGTAGAGTATGAAGGACACCAACAAGGACCCCTGTATTTTCAAAGATAGAATTTTGATCTTTTATTTTTCTTCACAGACTAAAGGAACACATTGCTGATAAGAAGAAACTGCCTATATTAATCTTTCCTGAAGGTAAGAATGGGGGCTGCCTACCAATCCATGGTTAATAACAACAACGAATACCAAAAGTGTGTGAGGAATAGAATTGTTCTAAAATTGGCATTTTTAGTCCTGGTTTCTGCTGTCCTATAGGAATGGGATGTCCTTCTCTAGACTAGTAATTCCCCCACTTTCTTTTGATGGGAGTCATTGCGTTTTATTGTTATTATTTTTTTAATCTTAGATGTCATTTCTGGGTAATGAACCTAGAAAGTTATTGTCCATAACTTTTTAAGGGTCCTTACTTTAAATAATGAAACTGTGACCTTTTATGAAGAAGTTATACCTTTAGAGTGTACAATAGTAAAGTAAGAGTTTGCTATTAAACCTGCTTAAATCTGTCCGATATCTACTTAAACAGGTATTGATTTGTGAAATGGTAGCAAAACGTCTGTAAATTTGTTATGATTTGAATATTTTAAATTATTTTTATCAAAATAATTCCTTTTTAAATGTGTTTAAAAAAATGACTGCCTTTAAAAATATTCTCCTTGCATTCCCTGCCCCCAACCCCCTGCAGGAACTTGTATCAACAACACTTCAGTCATGATGTTTAAAAAGGGAAGCTTTGAAATAGGAGGAACCATACATCCAGTTGCAATTAAGGTAAAACTGATACCCCACCTCTGATAAAAACAAGTAGTGTCTTGGTAACATTTTATTTTGATATAATTTCAAACTTAAAAGTTGCAAGACTAATATAAGAAACACTTTTGTATGCTTTACTCAGATTGATCAGTTGTTTACTTCTTACCCCATTTGCTTTTTCATTCTCCCCCTCTCTGTCTTTGTCTCTCTCTCTGTAGATATATGTGTGTGTGTGTATGTGTGTGTGTGGAGCCCTGGTGGCACAGTGGTTAAAAGCTTGCCTGCTAACCAAAAGGTCAGCAGTTTGAATCCTCCAGCAACTGCTAGGAAACTCTATGGGGCAGTTCTATTCTATCCTATAAGGTTGCTATGAGTCAGAATCGACTCGACAGCAGTGGGGTTTATGTATGTATGTATAGGTGTATAGATAGATAGATATAGATATGTACTGTATGATTGTGTGCCAGGCATTGTATTAAGTGTTGAGGATACAATGATAAGCAAAACAGACAGGTTCCTACTTTCATAGACCTTCCAGTTAAGTGGGGAGACAGGTATCAATAGTCATATGTATAATCCTATTGTTACAACTGTGACCAGTGCTGTGGGGCTTTAGTTATAAGAGTAGTCTGTTCTAGGTAGAGGAGTTAGCTGGCTCGTTTTGCCTTTGGATCACTTCTATCGAGCGAAGAAGCGTCTCTTTTCCTTGGGCTCTAATAGAGATGTTTGGCTCGCTATCTTGGAAACATGGGCATGGATAAGAGAAGCCACCTCGTAGCTCATAACTGGGATGTATTTTCTTTTCTTTTTTCTTAGTATAACCCTCAGTTTGGTGATGCCTTTTGGAACAGTAGTAAATACAACATGGTGAGCTACTTGCTTCGAATAATGACCAGCTGGGCCATCGTCTGTGATGTGTGGTACATGCCCCCCATGACCAAACAGGTATTCCATAGATAACAGCAGGGCTTTGTGCTTTATTTTATCAGATAAAGGCCAAGGAAACGTTTAGCTGAAAACATAGATGTATTCCTTCTTCACATCAGCTAAAGTTGGACTATCTTCTTGCTTTCTCAGAAATGAGTCATTTTTTCAAAATGTATTTACGATTTGCTCTCAAGTTGATTCTGTCTTATGGCGACTACATGTATGTCACAGTAGAACTGTGCTCCACAGGGTTTTCAATGACTGATTTTTCATAAGTCGATTGCC